TCAGCGTCAGCATCAACATCAGCATCATCATCAGCATCATTATCATCATCACGATCACAATCATCATCATCATCATCATCCTCATCAGCAACACCATTATCATCATCATTAGCAGCATCAGCATCAGCATCAGCATCATCGTCCTCATCATCCTCATCCTCATCCTCATCATTATCATCATCATGAGCATCAGCATCCTCGTAACCATCAGCATCATCACCACCACCGCCGCCACAAGCATCGGCATCAGCATCGTCATCAACACCATCATCAGCAGCTTCACCTTCATCTTCATGTTCGTCTTCAGCATCGCCATCAGCATCAGCATCAACATCATCATCGGCATCAGCATCAGTTACATCATCAGCATCAGTAGCAGGATCAACATCCGCATCAGCATCAGCATCATTATCATCATCACCCGCCTAGTTCTCCTCCTCCCTCCTCCCTCCTCCCCCTTCCCCTCGTTCTCCTCCTCCTCCTTCGATTCCTCCTCCATCCTCCCCGTCTTGGGATCAACGGCTTCCCCAGCCTTTATTCCATTGCATGCTTCTCCACATCCCTGCTCAGGACAAGTCGCGGGGGGATCGTTTCTGGATGGGCTGGCGGGGTTCCGCGAAGGGTCTAGAATCAGACGTTATGTTTTCACGCCGATGTATGAAGGTATGATAATTTGTATATTTCCGCCGGCCCCCTCTGGGGGCGCAACGCTGCGAAGGTGTGTGCGGTCTGCTGTCATGTGTCATGTGCTGTCAGTTTGGCCTTTTGTCTCTCCAGGCCTCCTATTTACTGTCTGCTAAGGGGCCCCGCTGGGTCACCAAACAGCCAACGGAGGGGGTGAACCGCAGATCCAGGCTGCTCCAGGCTACCCCAGGATTCTCATGGTGACGCCACCGCGCGGCCAGAACGGCCCGAGAGGCCTCCAATCCTGCCCGAAGAGGCTCCGAAGAGAGCCTCAGGAGGCCAAGACGGCGCAAGATGGCCCCAAGATGTCCCACGATGGCCCCAAGATGCTCCCAAGACAGCCCAAGAGTCCTCCAAGAGGCCTCCCAATAGTGTCCCACGAAGCAAACATAAACGATGTTCTAACCTTTTTTGAAGGTTCTTGGCCTTCTCGCCTTTTCGGCTTTCACATGCTCCGAGACGGAGCAAGAGGTTCCCAAGATCGTCCCACGACGGCCCTAGAAACCTCCATGACGGCCCAAGAGGCCCCGAAGACGGCCCCAAGACGGCCGAAGAGCGCCCCAAGGTGGTCCAAGAGGCGCCCCAGACGGCCCCAAAGGGCCCCAGTACGGTCCCAAGAGAGGCCCAAGAGGGAGTCCACGAACCGAAACCTCTACCTTTCCGCCCCGAGAGGGCCCCAGGAGGCCCCAAGAAGGCCCACAGAGGCCCCCAAGAGGCCCAAATGAGACCCCCAAGAGGCCAAAACTATTGTTTCCAGGAGGCCCCAAGAAGACCTTCAAGAGGCCCCAGAAAAAAAAACCCAAGAGGCCCCAGAGAGACCACCCCTCACACGTTTCGTGGCCCCATAGGGAGCTCCACCGAAGGCCCCAGCGGCAGCGCCCGCATGCGGTTCCCCCCCATTTTGGCACACCCCTACACGTTTCGTGATCCCATAGGGAGCTGGAGCTCCACCGAAGGCCACAGTGGCTGCGTTCGCATGCGGTTCCACCTTCATTTCGGCACACCCCTCACACGATTCGTGGCCCCCTAGGGAGCTCCACTGAAGGCCCCAGTGGCTGCGTTCGCATGCGGTTCTACCTCCATGTCGGCACACCCCTCACACGCTTCGTGGTCCCGTAGGGAGCTCCACCGAAGGCCCCAGTGGCTGCGTTCGCATGCGGTCCCCCCCCATCTCGGAACATATCTCACACGTTTCGTGGCCCCATAAGGGAGCTCCACCGAAGGCCCCCAGTGGCTGCGTTCGCATGCGGTTCCACCGCCATTTCGGAACATGTCTCACACGTTTCGTGGCCCCATAAGGGAGCTCCACCGAAGGCCCCAGTGGCTGCGTTCGCATGCGCTTCCACCCCCATGTCTGTCCACCCCCACGTCTGTGCACCCCTCAGACGCTTCGTGGCCCCGAGGGGAGCTCCACCGAGGGCCCCAGTTGCAGCGCCCGCATGCGGTTCCACCCCCACTTCGGTGCACCCCTCACACGTTTCGTGACATAGGGAGCTCCACCGAAGGCCCCAATGGCAGCGCCCGCATGCAGTTCCGCCAGGAATTTCGGTGTGCCCCTCACACGCTTCGTGGTCCCATAGGGAGCTCCACGGAGGGCCCTAGTGGCAGCGCCCGCATGCAGTTCCACCTCCATTTCGGCGAATCCATCGCACGCTTCGTGACCCCGTAGGGATCTTCACCGAAGGCCTCAGCGGTAGCGCCCGCATGTGGTTTCACTGAGCCCCTTCGTGGCCCCATAGGGAGCTTCACCTCAGGCCAGTGGCAGCGCTGCATTTTGGTACACCCTTCACGCGCTCCGTGGCCCTTTAGGAAGATCCACCGACGGCAATACTCACAACGACGGCACGCACAACTGCATATGGTTGGGCCATTCGCTAGGCTAATTCAGGACTGAACCTAAACGGTGCTTTTCGTTTTCGTTCTGTTTTCGTTTTCCCTCGCTCTTGTCTCGGATCCGCCTCTGCCGCAAAACGAAGCCGAAACGAAAACGGCCCACGAAAACACCAACAACACCGTTCAGGTCCCGCCCTGGGCACATCGCTATTCTTCTTCTCCTCCCCCGCCTCTCCCTCCCCCCTCCTCGCGCCCCCTCTCCTCGCCTTCCCCCCCCCCCCCCCCCCGGGCCTGCGCCGGCCGCCGCCCCCGCCGGGAGCCCTCCCCCCCCTCGGCCCGAGCGCCGCGCCCCACTGCCTGGAGTGGATCCTCCCCTGGCCGGACCAGTACATGGACGAGAAGCCGGGCCTGCCGCCTCGGCCGCAAGGGGAGGAGGAGGAGGAGGAGGAAGAGAAGGAGAAGGAGGAGGAGGAGGAGGAGGAGGAGGAGGAGGAGAGAAGGAGGAGGAGGAGGAGGAGGAGGAGAAGGAGAGGAGGAGGAGGAGGAGAGGGAGGAGGAGGAGGAGGAGGAGGAGGAGGAAGAGAAGGAGGAGGAGGAGAGGAGGAGAGGAGGAGGAGGAGGAGGAGGAGGAGGAGGAGGAGAAGAGAAGGAGAAGGAGGAGGAGGAGGGGGAGGAGGAGGAGGAGGAGGAGGAGGAGGGAGGAGGAGAGGAGGGAGGAGGAAGAGAGGAGGAGGAGGAGGAGGAGAGGAGGAGGAGGAGGGAGGAGGAGGAGGGAGGAGGAGGAGGAGGAGGAGGAGGAGAGAGGAGAAGGAGGAGGAGGAGGGGAGGAGGAGGAGGAGGAGGAGGAGGAGGGAGGAGGAGGAGGGAGGAGGAGGAGGAGGAGGAGAGGAAGGAGGAGGAGGAGGAGGAGGAGGAGGAGGAGGAGGAAGAGAAGGAGGAGGAAGACCAGTACATGGACGAGAAGGGGGGCAGGCCACGTGTCGCCGCCGCTCGGGGGAGGCGTGGCCGTCGGGCGCCGTCGCACAGGGCGAGCGGCGAGGGGCAGAGGGACGGGCGCGCCATCGTCGTCGTCGGGGGAGGGGGGGGGGGCGGCGTTGCCGTCGGCGGGAGGGCGGCACCGTCGAGGGAGAGCCCAGGGGCGGAGGAGGGAGGGGGGGGCGGTGTCGCGATAGGGTGACAGAGAGGGATATATATATATATATATAGAGAGAGAGAGAGAGAGAGAGAGAGAAAGAGAGAGAGAGAGAGAGCGAGAAAAAAAGAGAGGAAGAAAGACACAGAGGGGGAGGACACAGATCTCTCTCTCTCTGTCTTACTCTCTCTTTGTTTTCTCTCTATATATGTATATGTATATGCATATATATATATGTGTGTATATATACATATGTATATATATAGTTATATGTTTGTGCTGGTGGGGGTGGCGGAGCCGATCGCAGACTGGGCTGAACCCTTTTTACCTAACAGCGAAGACTGATAGGTTTCTAGTAGGGTCAAAAGAGAGCATCATGACTCCCCAAGGGGGTCTGGGCGGGATCCGGCGATCTGCCGGCGCTCTGCCGCCGCCACCCAAATCGCCTAAGACATCCTCGCAAAATCGCTCTTGGCGCTCCCAGAACTCCATTCCAGGGCCACATTTTGAATGCCCGGAGCCAACTGTAGGCCACTTCGTGCTCTTCGAGTTCCCAGAACTCCATTCCCGGGCCACATTTTGAATGCCCGGAGCCAACTGTAGGCCACTTCGTGTTCTTCGAGTTCCCAGAACTCCATTCCCGGGCATGATTTTGAATGCCCGGAGCCAACTGTAGGCCACTTCGTGGTCTTCGAGTTCCCAGAACTCCATTCCTGGGCATGATTTTGAATGCCCGGAGCCAACTGTAGGCCACTTCGTGGTCTTCGAGTTCCCAGAACTCCATTCCTGGGCATGATTTTGAATGCCCGGAGCCAACTGTAGGCCACTTCGTGTTCTTCGAGTTCCCAGAACTCCATTCCCGGGCCACATTTTGAATGCTGAGGCAGGCTGATGCTGAGGCTGAGGCAGGCTGAGGCTGAGGCAGGCTGAGGCTGAGGCCGAGGCTGAAGGCAGACTGAGGCTGAGGCTGAAGCAGGCTGAGGCTGAGGCTGAGGCAGGCTGAGGCTGAGGCTGAGGCAGGCTGATGCTGAGGCAGGCTGAGGCTGAGGCTGAGGCTGATGCAGGCTGAGGCTGAGGCAGGCTGAGGCTGAGGCCGAGGCTGAAGGCAGACTGAGGCTGAGGCTGAAGCAGGCTGAGGCTGAGGCTGAGGCAGGCTGAGGCTGAGGCAGGCTGAGGCTGAGGCTGAGGCAGGCTGAGGCTGAGGCTGTGACTGCGACTGCCGTTGCCACTGCGACTGTCATCGCGAATGCGACTACGACTGCGAGAACAGCAGAATTCTACAACTGGATTCTCATCTGAATCTTAAGGGGAATGCTTCCAGATATGCTCCTACACATCGCTCTTAGGTTGCTTTGCCGGGATACTTTTCCTCACATGCCTTGGTATGTTCGGCCATATTTTGGTTAAGCCAGCCGGGCGCGCAAAAAGCCCAGTCCACCCCCCTCACGGTCTCCCCCCCCCCCGCGAGCCAACCCCCAGCGACCCTCCGCGTCCAGCGAAGCAGGCCACCGCCTATGATGGGAACGCCCTGCCGCCTCCCAGGCCAAGGGTCCGCGGATGTGGAAGGGCGAGGGGCGGCGCGAGAGGGGAGTGAACCCAGGGGGGCTAGTTCCTGCGAGCCTTAGACATGGCGTCTCGAGAATGTTCCCAGGGGGGGAAGGCGGGCCGAAACAGCTGCCGCGCGAGCTGCGAGCGGCCTAGACGCGATCATCCGCTTCGCCCGCTGGCCCAACCATCTACAGTTAACGTTCATATGTTTGGGCTGGCGGGGGTGGCGGGGCCGATCGCGGACTGGGCTGAACCACTTTCTTCATATTCCTTGTTATGTTCGGCCGTAGTTTTTGTTAAACTAGCCTGGCGCACGAAAAGCCAGGGCCACCCCCCTCGCGGCCCCTTGCCCCCCCCTCCCCGCGAGCCACCCCCCAGCGACCCCCCGCGTCCAGCGAGGCACACCACCGCCTATGATGGGATCGCTCTGCTGCCTCCCAGGCCGGGGGTCCGCGGATGCGGAGGGGCGAGGGGCGGCGCGAGAGGGGGGCCAAGGCCGATCGGGGTGCGACACAAGAGGGCTAGCTCCAACCATCTCAGAGATACAATGTTACGCGAGCATCGCACGCATTTAGGTTATCACTCTGGCTTTTAGTCGACACGACCCAAGCGCAAGCACATATCAAACAATCCTGCAAAATTTTCAATTTTGTCGGCAGTGCTGCCGTACTCGGCTGAAGGTGGCACAGCGGCGGCCAAGGGTCTGACTCGGCGGTGGACAAAACTCCCTTTAGTAAACCTCCCTTTAGTGAAAACGGCCTAGGACCGAAACCTACGGACCTCGACCCGCAAAAATAACGGCCGCGACGCCTCTCGCGAACCGAAAACGGCCAATTCACTAATCGACGTGTCAGGGTAGGAGGCCTATCAACCTCCGACTCACGTACTCGAGGCCATGACATAATCACTGCACATTTGCAGCGCCATCTTGGATGTGGATGCGTGCCGTGTGGTGGGTCGACCACCGGCCTCTCGCCATGGATTTAGAGAGATGGAACGCGGTCTCCTGGAAACAGCGATTCATGCGTGCGTGGCTCCTCCTCGCCAAGATCATAAGGCGCGAACTCGAGATGATCTGATATCGTGCCCAGCTCGGCGGGGCCACAGATGAAACGCGCGAGCGGAGAGGGGCCGCGGGCGGGCAGATCCTGACGCGGTGCCAAAGAACGAGGGCCCCCACATAGGGCGTCGCGGAGCGAGATGTCCCCGCGCGACTTCTTATCGACGCGATGTCTTTGCCCAAGGCAAGCCGATGACGCCGCGTCGGTCTCGGCGCAAGGAGGCGAAGGCCCGCGCGAGCTGAGGGTCTCCTCGGCGCAGGGGGAGGGGGGAGAGGCGGCCCTCGCGACTGACGCGAAAGCCACCTCTTCTGCCGCCAGTGCTCGGCCCGCGAGCGCTACGGTACAGGGGGCAGCGTGGGCGGAGCTCGGGAGGGGGCCTCGGGGGGGCCCGGGCGCTGATGAGACGCCAAGCTCTTGGCACCTGCCTCCTGGTCTTCAGGAGGCGCTCGACGCCGCTCGACACGTCGCGGGCCTGACCCTTCGCGACGCTTCGCGCCCGCGGGTGTATAAAATAATCTCGATCGGTCGGGTTCGTCCCATCTGAATCCATCGGCAGCGGCATGCGGGCGGTGGCAGCATGGTCAACGACAGTGTCGAGCGGCCGTGAGCCAGCGGCTCAGAGTCTCGGCGCCGATTCCTGCGCCGCTCAAGCATCCCGGGCCAGCTCGGGTGGCGCGGCCAGCACTCGCGACAGAGACGCACGGATCATCGGATCATCATCAGCGAGCGCACCGTGGCACTCTAGAACATTTTGTGCTCTGCTGCCCAGATCAATCGCCGTGCCTTGTGCCGCTGCTTCATGCCTGCGCGCATCTCCTGCAGCATCGCCTCGGAGCTTCTGTCAGATCTCAGGTCGGCTCCGCTCGCGTGGCGCGCCGTGGCCAGCCCCGTCAAAAGCGGGCGCGAGGCGCCCCAGTCCTGCCGCTGAGCATGGTTGCTCTTGGCCAGCTCCGCCAGGAAGACGTCCGCGTGGCAAAGCTCCACGGCCCGCGGCGGCGTGCGAGGCGTCGGGCCACGAGATCGCCCATCTCGTCCAGCAGCTGCGGCCGGAGTCGACTCAGGCGGTGCGCAGATCGCCGGCCTCCGCGAGAGCGCGGCCCTCGGTCGCGCGGAACGCGTGGCTCCTGGGCGAACTCGGGCCCCCGAGGTTCCGCGGTCCGCGGCCGGCGTGCACGGGGCCGCCGAGCTGGTCCAGCTCCCCCAGGTGATAATTAGGGCTCCCGTCGGCGCGCCAGCCAGGCGGGGCCTCCTGTCCAGAGGCGCAGCCCAGGCTCGGGCGCTCTCGCGCAGCCCCGAGAGCGCGGCGAGGGCCACGGGCCGGCCAACGAACGCGGCCCAGCGGCTGACGAGCCAGGCCACCACCTCGCAGTGGGGCGAGTTGCCGACCGGCGACCTCAGCGTGCTCTCGTACTCGTCGGGCTCGGCCTTCACGCCCCCGCTGGGCAGGCGCGGCGCGGTGTGGCCGTCGAGGGGGCCCATGGGCTGCTCGCGCGCCGAGGCAGGCGGAGGTGCGAGCTGGCTGTCCGTCGCGTGCAAGCACCCCTTGCCGTTGAACAGATACGGGGGCGCCGCGCAGCCCGCGTCGGCGCAGAGCGCGAGCTCGGACTCGCGGCGCTCCAGGGCGCCCTCGGGCCGCGGCCCAGGCTCCTCCCTCCCCGGGGCCCACCGCGCAAAGGAAGACAGTGGCTCGCCTCCTTCGGGCCCAGGGTAGCCGGCGTCAGCTGGCAGCCACTCCTCCAAAGGCGGTCGTCGGACGCGGAGGCGGAATCCCCGGGCGCGCAGCGGGCGCGCACGGCGCCGTCCGTCAGCTTCGACGTCGCGACCTCAGAGCTCTACTCGCGGCTCGGTGGGGGGCCCCACGGGCGCCGGTAGAACCAGGGGGGCTGGGTCCAGCCGATGTCGCCGGCCTGGATCAAATAGGGGGCCCTCTCGAAGCGCCCGTTCAAGGCCATCGCGTCGCGCTCCGTCGTCGAGGCGACGCCCCCGCCCGGCAAGTTGAGGCGGGCCTGAAGGAGGCGCCTCTCGAGACCGTCAGCGATGCGCTTCAGGCGCCGCGCCGGTCCAGCCCGAGGGCCCGCGAGGCCCTTCCGGTCGATGTCGACCGCGGCGTGCGCCTGGCAGGAGAAGTCGTGCATGGCCGATGCCCGCGAGATGTGGTCTCGCTCCTTTGAACGCTTCGCCAGGTCCAGCTGCTCGACGGCGCTCGCATCCTCGAGATGGGCCGTGCTCGGGTATGGGCGCCTGGCTCCGCGGGCGCCGGTGGGGTCGAGCTCGCAGGAGGGGCAGCTGGCGCGATGCTCGGGAGCGCCGGCGCGCGCCGCTCCCCGCCGATGCCGTCGAACAGGGCGACGAGACCGCGTCCTTCTCGCAGGCGGGGCAGCGCGGCCGCGGGCGCCGGGCGGCCGGCCCAGCCCCCCGTGGAGGGGGCTCCAGGACGAGGACCACCGCGCGCGTCATCTCCGAGGCGTCCGCGGTCGCGACGACGCGGTAGAGCTCCAGCCTGAGGTCTGCGGCGCGGAGGGCGCGGGGCGCCGAGGAGAGCGGCTGGTCCTCGGCGAGCCCAGGCTGACACGGCCAGCCGTCCGCGCGCCCCCCAGCCAGCGCCAGGCGCGAGCGAGGCTTGACGCCCGCGGGGGGCGGAAGAAAGGAGCGCGCGCCCTGCAGCCGAGAAAGGGGCCTCCTGCTGGTGCGACGTCTGCCGAGCACCTGGAACGCGAGGCTGGTGACCGCCGTCGGGTAGCCCCCAACGGGGGCGACGGAATCCCTCGACGCCGAGCCCGAGCTCGACGAGGGTCGTGGCCCGCGCGCCTCGATGAATGTCCTTGCCTGGCGAGCCCGCGGAACCGACTGGCTCGTAGCAGGCGCGGACCTCGGTCAGCGTCGGCGGCGCGGTGCCCTGCAGCTCGGCCGATTCGCTCTGTCGCCTCTGCGATCTCGGGGTCGTCAGCGTAGACCGCCCAGGCAGCTGGGCAAGGCCGCTCGCCTCCGAGCGGAAGGCGACGTCCGCAGGCCGCGCGGCAGCTCGCGGCGGCGGTGCAGCGCGTCGCAATGCAGGTTGGTCGCGACCTTGACCGCGCTGATCCACTCCGCGCCGACGACCTCGAGGCAGCTGCGTGCGGTGGTGCGAGACGGGCCGCCCGCCAGCTCGGCGGGGGCAGGGCCACCGATCAAGATGCGCAGCCACCGTGGAGACGACGTGCGGAAGACGTAAGAGAAGGCCTTTCGGTCGGCGGCGCTCCAGATGAGGTCCTCCGTCTCGATCAGGACAAACCGTTCAGTTGGTTCATGCTCGACAGCTCGTGGGTGCACCACTCGTTGAGCAGCGGCTGCTCGTCTCTCGTCGCGATCTCAAACTACTCGATCAGGCCAAGCATCGCCCCCGCGAGCAGAGCAGCGACGATGCGGTGCCTCTCTTCCCTCGAAGCCCAGACCTGAACCGAGGTGGTGGCAACCCGTCGCTCAGCCGGCGCGAGCATGACGAGGGAAAGGTCCAGCAAGGCGACCCCTCGACGACTGCGGCCAGGTCAGCAGCCCCGATGGAGGCTGCGTCCCCGGGTGGCGGCAGTCGGTCCAGCACCCTCTCCAGCGTGAGCCTCATCTGCGTCGAGACCTCGGACCAGTCGGAGGCGATCCGCTTGTCTTCCGGGCTCGGTCCAGTCGAGCTCCGTCGGTCCCGCGACCTCAGCCAGCATCGCGTGGTAGACCCCCTGCGCCAAGGCTCGCGTGGCGGGGGTCTGGGTCGCGTTAGCCCGACCAGGACATGGCTTAGCAAGCTTCGAGCTGCGATCGCCAGTCACCCAGTTCAGCCCGATCATCGACAAACCTAGCCTCATGAGGAGCCGCTCTCTGTCCCTGTCGCTGATGCATGCTCTCGTCGCTGAGGATGACCTCGGTGACGTACAGACGAGGGTATGGTAACGGCGACAGGTCACACTGAAGCCGGCCGCCCTTGGTGGCCGAAAGGTCGCAGGACTTCAGGTCAAAGAATTCCCGTGCATAGCGACCAAAGGAGCCAAGGAACCGGCGCAGAGGCGCTGCCAGGGGTGGAAGGGGAGATGGATCAAACGCCGGCCCAAGAAATCCGGGAGGACGCCCGAAAATTGATGCTTCTGTTGCTTCTGAATCTCCGAGGGCCGGGAGGTGCAGTGCGGGAGGGCTCAACTCTCGGGTCGGGCGAAAGGGGGGGATAGCAAAGGGGGGGTTTGAGAATCAGCTCGCGTAGCTGATTTTCCCGGCGCCTCCCGGCGCCGGAGGCGGCTACGTATCGAGGAATGGGCCCCTCGGTGGGGCCGAAACCAGCTGCATGGAGCAAATTTCGTACCCCCCCTTTCCCAATCCCCCCCTTTCGTCCGGCCCGATTCGAGGGCCGGGAGGTGCAGTGCGGGAGGGCTCAAGTCTCGAGTGCGGCCAGAGGCGCCCCTCGCCACAAAGGTCGGGCGCGACCAAACAGCCCCCTCCCAAATGACGAGCCCCTTCGGTGCTGAGCCCGTTGCCTCCCCCTAAGAGGAAGTCGGGCCTGTCCCCCCACAGGCCGATTTCGGACGACATGTTGAAAATTCCAATCCAAAAAGGAGGAGGAGGAGGAGGAGGAGGAGGAGGAGGAGGAGGAGGAGGAGAAGGAGGAGGAGGATGCCCCAAAATATTTGACAAATAGTCCCCATACTGCTTTTTGACTATTTGGGAACCTTCCTCCTGTAGAGAGGGACGGGCCCGACGTAACCCTGAGACGTGGGCGGACGGCCGGAGCACGATGGGGTCGGCCCGCTCAGTGCTTGGGGGCGGCTGGGCCGCACCTGGCAGGGCAATGCCCCGGATTTCCGCGAAGGCCCCGACGGCATCCCGAGCGCCCTGGGCGAGGCCCAGGGAGCCACAAGGGCTCCAAGACTGAGCGAAACGCTGGGGGCACCTTGGGCCAACCGCCTCTCCAGGGATCCGGCGTCCTGCTTTTTCCAATGCGGCGGCGACGTGCACGGCGATGAAGACGACAACCGCGACGACGGCGACGCCGACGATAACGCTGATGGAGACGGCCGCGGCGGCGACGACGATGGCGACGACGGCGGCGGCGACGGAACCCTGTCAGGACGCTGTGGCGCCCGCAGGTGCCGATCGCGGTGTCCTGCTTGCTTTTGTCCAGGAGCTGTGAGAACTTCCACTTGTCCCACTCGAGCAGATCCTCGCGCCCTCGCCACAAACGCACGCCTATTCAGTGCTTGTTTGGGCTTCTCTGGGCTCCAAGAGCCTCCAGAGACTTCTGGACACCCACGGAGACCACGAGGATCCCTGCGTCAGTGGCTCCGGTCCAAATTCGATCCGTGATCCCCCCGCATTCCCCCCCTCGGCGCAGCCCCCGAGGAGCCTTGCCCTTACCTTACCGCCTCCCTTTCTCCTGCCTCTTCCGCTTCGCCCCCTCTGATCAACCGTATTCTCCCTCTCCTCCCCTCGTCGTCCTCCTCCTCCTCCTTCTCCTCCTCGTCCTCGTCCTCCTGCTCGTCCTCCTCCTCCTCCTCCTTTTCCTTCTCGTCCCTCTCCTCCTCCTTTTTCCTCCTCCTCCTCCTCCTCCTCCTCCTCGCATTCCTCCTCCTCGTCCTCCTCCTCCTCCTCCTTGTCCTCCCCCTCCTCAGCCTCTCCCACCTCCCCCCCGCAGGTACTCCCCCAAGAGCTTCTACAACGGCTGGGGGAACACATAGTCCAATAGCTTTTCCAATTCTCCTCCTCCTCCTCCTCCTCCTTGTCCTCCTCCTCCTCCCCTCCCTCTCCCCACCCACAGGTGTTCCCCCCAAGGGTTTCTACAACGGCTGGGGGGACACATGAGCGGGGGATACTGAAGCTCTGACCACAATCGGGCGTTGGCAGAACTGTGTTTAGTGGGACCTGGTTTAGTGATGTGTACTGGGGGACGCCCCTCCCCGCCCCGTTCCACTAATTGCCGACACCCGAAAAACATCAGCTATGGCAGACATGGTTGAATGATTCTGGTCAATTTAGGGGCTCCGGGGCCCTATTACTAACCGGGTCCCCTTACCTGGGGTCCTGGCTATACCCGACACAAGACTCACGACTTTCGACGCACCGTTGAATCTTAGCGATGGGTTCTCGGTCGGGCAGCGGTCCGAATCCATGTGGGCTCGTACTCTGTAGCAATGTATATATATATATATATATATATGTATGTATGCATGTATGTATGTATGTGTATGTATATATACACATGTGTGTTTGTGTGGGCACGCATATTCTAT